ATACTGGCAAAAAGAATTTTCATTATGCAATCGAATGATATTTAATAGTAGCATTCAATTGTACTGTTAAATATAATTTAAAGTATTTCATCCTGCTTTGAAAAGACTGACTGAAAATTGAGTTAATTTTTAATAAAAATGTTTCTTCTGAATATCTCGACATACCTCTTTTGATTAGGTGTATATCAACATTTTTGCTCTTTCACAAAGATGCCTAATATTTTCTTGTGATATTTCCTTAGTTAAATTGAGAATATGTATCAATACTTTAAATGAACTTAACAAAACGATATTTAATTCTGAATTTCGACTTATGTATTGAATACATTTTGAGCTCTTCTTTCTCATTGATTATACGATTAGCCAATAGGAAATGTTTATTAAAGAGGTTCTTATTATATTTATGACGATTAATCTATGGCCGATACAAAACAAACGAAATTGTCTTGTGTGTACGAGATTCTTTTCTTTTTGTTGATAAACTAAAAAGAGAAAATGAGCGATGATCTTATTCAAACAATAATCAATGATGATCGTCAACGTTTTTTACTTGATCTTGAATTTGTTCAAACATTAGCTAATCCTCAATATTTGAATTTTTTGGCTCAAAGAAATTATTTTAAAAATCCAGCATTTATTAATTATTTAAAATACTTACTCTATTTTAAAGAAGATAATTATATAAAATACGTTCGTTATCCTCAAGCACTTTATTTTCTTGATTTATTACAACGTGAACAATTTCGACAGGAACTTGTTAATGCAACGTATTGTCGCTATATTGAAGATCAACAATTATTAGCATGGCAACGACTTCAACGTCGAAAAAATCAACTTTTAAATAATGCTACTGGATTAGCAGCATCATCATCAACAACAAATAATAATAATAATAATAATGAAGCAGAAACACCAAATACGCAAAATAGTACAAATGCAATATCAACATCAACAACAACGAATAATACACAACTTCGTTAGAAATAATAAACGATTATTTTTTGTGTATAGTAAAAACTTCATTTTTTTTCATTATGGATATGAATTTTTTGAGTATTAATTAAAATTCCTTAAATAGGAATTCTATTCTGAAAGAATATATAGTATGTACATGATAACTTAAAAAGTCTATCTTTTCACTAAATCATCTAGTCTAGATTTGTTTTTATGATTATTTATTGTTTTTTTTATTATTTCAGATATATAACTATGACATCTATTGATAGTGGAATATCAGGCTCTGCTGTAACTAATGCACTTATTTTACCTAATATAATCTATCCTGTTATTGAACAACTTGATAAATCTGGTTATAAAGATATTCAAAGTGAATTACGTAGAAACTTTTATCAACTTGAAGAATATTATCCAGGTTTTTCTCATCAATTTCTTCAATCATTTATACATAAACAAATGCCATCATCAACAACAAATATGAATGAATTAACACTTAAATTAGAAAAATATTGTGATAAATCATCATATTGTATTTCATCATCACGTAGTGAACCAGAATTTCATGAATTAAATATTCGTTCGAAAAATCTCAAACGTATATTAAGTCGTATTCCAGATGATATCAATGAAAAACGTGAATTTCTTGAAACAATTAAAGAAATTGCAAGTGCAATTAAAAAAACACTTGATAGTGTAACAAATACATATCAATATTTTAAAACATCTGATGGAAGACAAGCATTAGAGAATGAAAAAAAAGAATTTATTAAATACAGTAAAAATTTTAGTAATACATTAAAAGCATATTTTCGTGATAATAAACGTGATGATGTTTATATCGCAGCAAATCATTTACTTGTTCAAACTGATTATTTATTACGTACTATAAAACTTTATTGTGAAACAGATGCATTGGATGAATGTTTATATCCTTTAATATCTCAACAACAACAAAATTCAAATCGAATCATTCCAACATCACGTTATTCATCAAATAATAGTCGGCAATCATCATCATCATCTTCAGGAAATAATCGACCAATATCATCATACGAAATCAATTATACTTAAATTAGAATATCATCTATGAACTAATATATTTTATTTCCTTCTTTGTATGTATATATGTAAAAAATGTGGGAAAAAAATCGTGCTAAATTTGTCTTCCATATACGTATGTACAGTAGAATTTGTTTTATTATAGAATAAGTAATTAAAAACAAAAAATAATACTTCGATATTTACTTGTTTTATTTTTGATGTATAATCTCGAGATAAAATCACTTCCTATTTACCTTGAATGATATGAAGAGGAATTGTGAATGAGCGAGTCTTTTTTTTTGCTTTGTTTTCAGTTAGAATATAATTAATATTGTTAACTCATATTGACTAATAGATAATCATGGAAGCAAAAAGGAATTATAGATAATGTTATCTGTATTGGAAATGGAAAGACAAAGAGAGAAAAGAAAATAGAAAAATAAGAACATGTGTAGTGATCTATAGTCGTGTGGGCATATGCATCAGCTCGACTTTAATAGTTAACTAATGTTGATATGTGATAAAGAATAAAAGAAAAATAGAACGACGAACGGCAAAGGGAAACAAAAACCCACCCACTCTTATTTTTCTCTACGGGCAAGTGTCACAATAGTAGCGGACTGACTTTTATACTCGTTCTCGTCCTTCTTTTCCTCTTTTCCTCTCGCATTTTCTTTTCTATTGATTCGGCAGTAGTTCTTCACGATCGTACGAATTAAATCTAATATATGACCAAGACGACTATCTCTTTTTTTTTCAGCAGTACGCAATCACAGCTTTTAATACAGTCGATGACATCATTGTAAACGAAAGAAACAGATTTTTTTTCTCTTCTGCTGCGATTATTATATATCATATCTTTATTCAAGTTTATTTAAACAACGTCATTTTATTATCTAGAAAAGATAGACATTGACTTTTAACCTTTATTATTCTATTTTATTCTTGTTAATACTTAAGATTGAAAGACGAACAACGATATAGATAATTTATTTAAATCAGTGAACAAAAATGCCATCCTCATCTACTGTAGATAATCGTACTTTTAAACAACGTAAAAATTTCGGTAAATATCAACTTTTATCTTTATTCAATTTTTTAATCTTTTGTTTAATTTAAGCAACACGCAAAGAAGAAGTAGCTGGAATTCGAAGTAAATTTCCAAATAGTAAGATTTATATTTCATAAAAACAATAAATAATCATTTCATTCTTATTATAGAAATTCCAGTTATTGTCGAACGGTATCATAAAGAAAAAGATTTACCTATTCTTGGTAAAATAACTTTGATTATTTTCATTTATATTAGTTTGTATTTTTAGATAAAACAAAATTTTTGGTGCCACAAGAATTAACAATGTCTCAATTTGTGACAATAATTCGGTAAATAAAAATCTAAACTTCTTAAAAAAAAGAAATTTATTAAGATTAACGTCTTATTAGAAATCGCATGCAATTAAATGCTAATCAAGCTTTTTATTTATTGGTTAATAATAAAAGTATAGCTTCAATGTCGACTTCCATGGCAGAAATCTATCGTGATGATAAAGTAGTTTTTAAAAAAAACAATATTTAATAAAAAAAATTTTTTATTTGTCTTCTTCTATTTAAGGACGATGATGGATTTCTTTATATGACTTATGCTAGTCAAGAAATGTTTGGTGGAATTTATTAAAAAAATGAGCGATTTTGTTTATAATATATATACATATATATGTATTTCTTTTTTCTTCATCTTTGTTGTTGTTGTTATTGTTTGTCTTTGGAATATTTTTTTCCTTTATAAAAACCAAAAAAATAAGAATTAGATGATCTTTTTTTTGCTCATCATACTGAGAGCAACCGGTGAGCACAAAAGAAGAAAGTTTCTATCGTATGAATGGTATGCAATCTAAATTATTTCTTTGACATAATAGCAATATAAAAAAATATCTAATTTTGAATGTGTATTGAAGTATATATTTTTTTTTCTTATGTGTTTTTCTGTTCATTATATAATTATTGTGCATTTTTATTTTCTGGTTTTTCCTTTATATGTGTGTTGTCTTCATTTTTCTTTTTGTTCTTCTTATTGAGATGTATTGATCATAAAACATGTTTTATTTTGTATTATACGAAAAAAGAGAGGGAAATATACATACACACACACATTTGTACATTGTCTTTTTCATTTCGCTGAAAGAAAAAAATTTTTTTTTTGAAATTAAAGAACATAATTCTAATGAGAATACAGATTATAGAAGATTATATATATATATATGAACTTTAGTTACTGGAATTTAATTCTTTTTTTTTCTATCCATCGAAAAACAACAACAATTATTTAGATAAGTTAGAGTTTTGCTCTTGATGATAATAAGAAAAACTATAATTTGTTTCACAATGTACTTTTATTGAAGTTCTGTGAACCATTGAGTTTTTTGCGTTTTAACTCTTTTCTTTTTCTTCAGTGCTAGATTTTATTGTTAAGTAATAGGGATGCTTTCAATATGAAACGTGAGATTATGCCTCATTAAAGATCATGGAAATACGCTCTAATTATAATGTAGAGATCGACTTACTAATATGAGAAAAATGTCTAATATTATAATGTGATTAACAGTGTCATAAATAACATTGCACCAATATAGCTTCATTTTAATATTTTGAAATTATTTGTAATATTTTTTTTCTTCTTTCTATTGACAGAATTGTTATTGACTTAGAAATATAGATTTTCAAAATTTATGTATATATATGATAGTTTGTTAGATAAGTATAATGTTTCATATGACTATGTGTTGTTCAGAAACAAAACAATAATGATCAACCATCAATGATTGATGGAACGATAAGATCGATATCAGATATTTTCCGCAAGTAATAATGATTTATATGTATCAAAATATTGATCTTGGAAGTATTTTTCCGTGATATATAAGACAATGTCTGTTTTTTTTGTGGAATATAAAATAAATAAAGAACTACTTTAAATGTTTTAGATAAATTTAGTGTGAGACAAAATGTTTCACAAATACAATTCATTTACGAATACACTTTCTCCCTCCGATCAAATATCGGCTTTTGTACCACAAGTTAGATATATTAATTATGAATTTAATATAATACGTTATTTTTGTTTATTCTTCTTTTTTTATTAATAGAGTTTCGGTACTAAAGAGGCAACAAATAACTTTTTCCTTGCTCCACAACCCAAAGGTCGTCAACCAGGTGGATCCGGTCCCGATTCCAAAGGAAGCTTAGCTGGTCGCCAGATGTCATTATTTCGCTTTTTTTCAAAAAACACTGGTGCCAGTGGCTCAGCTATAGCTGCTACAGCTCAATCGGTAGCTGCTACAGCTCAATCGGTAGCTGCTACAGCTCAATCGGTAGCTGCTACAGCTCAATCGGTAGCTGCTACAGCTCAATCGGTAGCTGCTACAGCTCAGTCCGTAGCTTCAACAGCAACACAAGCTGTAGCCAATGCAAGTCATGCAGCCACTCAAGCAGTTGCTTCAACCGCATCACAAGCTGTAGCTAGTGCAACTCATGCAGCCACACAAGCAGTCCAGCAACATGGCACTAGTCATGCTGCTAAAAGTCATGGTCATGGTCATGATTCTCATGCTGCTCCATGGGAAGGTGTCAATCTTTGGCGTACACCATACAAAGGTGATACTGATACAATTACACAAGTTAAACGTAACAAAGGAACACTTGATCGTTTTGTTGAAACTCGTACTCGTCGTATTCAAGAATTACAACTTTTTGCATTAGTAAATATTCTATAGAATTCTATTTTATAATTTTAATTAATTCTATTTTTGTAGCGTAATAAAACTAGACCTACTTGGGTAATGATGCCAAGAGATAAAATAATTTTTGCTGCCCAAGGTCTTATAGCTGCTTATGTTATTTTTCAAGTAACAACAAAAGTATATCAACATTTGAAAGCTAAAGATCGTCTTAAACGTAAATATAACTATTTTACTTTATTTATCTCATTTTTTTCTCATTTATTATAGTTATAAAACTACTTTACAAAGACAATGTCGATTAATATATTTTTTTCTCTCAAACTTGTCCACAAAACCAACAACTTCTTCCTTTTCCCTAAATTTTTCTACTTCTTAACTTCTGTTGCCGGTACAAACACCGTTTATTTGTAGCTTTTTTTCTATCAAAATAAAGAGCATAGGTATTAATTTCATATTTTATTAATATATATCTGTTTTAATAACACAAAAGAAAAGAAAAATATGAACCTAGTTTAGTTATGAAAAAAAAATTCATGTTTTAATATTAATGTGGATTATATAATGATGAACTACTATCCATTAATCTAAAAATAAAAAAGAAAGATTTTAATTAAAATTTCTTTTTTTCATTGTTACTTCATCATATTCATTAATAAATCTTGTTTAATTTTTGGTGTTGTTATCCGATCAATTGGCATTTGACAAAAATTAAATAGAGTAGACTTTTCTTCTTGAGATAAATTTGTTATATTCAATGTTATCCATTCACATAATTTAAGTATAGCTGGAAGATGTTCAGTAAGTTCTGTACTATCTAAAATAAATATTTTTCTTTTTATATTACAGAAAAAGAAAATCAAACTATGATTTATTTACTTTGATGAACAAGACGAATAGCCATAGCTAATACATAAAAACAAACTCGCCAATATGTTGTTGAAATAATTTGTCGAGCACGAGCTGATTCAATTTGTGATAATAAATGACGAAATAAATCATCACGAGATAGAATTCCAAGTAATTTTAATGAGGATTGACGCATTCGTTGTAACTGTCCATCAATTGAACGTGCAGTTAAATCGGCTAAAGTTTTTAAATAATATTATTTTTTAATAAAAAGAAATTTTTTATTACTTGATGCATCAAGTGTATAGATTAATTTAAGAACAGTATCAATCTCATGTAAAGTACATAGATTATCTAATGGACTTGCTAAGATTTTAAGTATAAGTTCAGTTAATTGATTGGCAAATTGATAGATCTAAATATAAAATAAGATAAAAGTCTTGCAACAATTCTTGTTTTTTTGAGATATTTATTAAAACAATATTCGAATGAATTTATTATTTTGTTATAAGAACAACAGAGTTTTGTTTCCTTTGTTTTTTTTATTCTATTGTATATTTCAATACTTTTTAAATTGAATAGCTCTATTGTATTCGATCTCTACTTTATAGTCATGTCGACAAACAAAATTAATATTATTTATTTCTAATACGCAATTCAAACTAGCAACATGATGTAGACTTTCTGAATATATACTATAATTTTTTTTATTTACTTTTTCTTTTGTTCGAACATTTGCCATTAATGTTGCAACTGTTAAATCAATAACAAATGCAAGTGTTCGACCAAACATCCATCGACCATTACGACTTGATTCATTATCACTATTTTTAATAAATATAAATATATAGAATTCTTTCTTTTATAAAAATTAATCTTTACTGTAATAAACGTCGAGTATCGATATGAAAATCCATAAGAGGTAATAGAGCATCAAATACATTACTTGATACAAGTAATTGTGCACCATTATTAACTGATGAAATTCTTAGAAGAAGTGCCTAAATTTTATTATTATTTTTTAAAAAAGAGAAATAAATAAAATCGATTATTTTACCATATATGATGAAAATGAATGCCATGTTTTAAGATCAACTGTACCAGATGTTTGTAATGATTGTACAACAGCACAGGTTAATTGACGTAATTCACCTTCGAGGGAACGTAAAAATGTTTGATTGAATGTATTTAATATTACATCTGATGTATCAACTGTTATTAAAGATGTAAGTAGACTTGATGCAGATGACTAAATAACAAAAATTTGATATTTATCTAAGTCTATACAATCGATGAAATATTTGTATTCAGATCTGATCAAGAAGAGATTTTCACGCTAAGATCGAATAATACGACTAAGAAAATAAAAGCCGGACCTATGACGACATACTGTGAAATTTAACGAAGAAATAAACTGCTTTAGATCACTTACAATGTCGTATCTAACAGTTGGAATGGTTATCCTACGCGAGTCGAAATTCGATATGATTGTCATTCAATAACAGCTCAGTATTGATAAACTTAAATTGAAATTTAAAATTCGTAACATCTTCATACAATAGAATCGCTCATAGAATTCTTATATCAAATTGGACTGTTAGTTTACTTAATTGAAATCGAGATTGAATAAATAGTATTTATAATGATTTTCACTCGATTTTACTATACAATTTTAGTCAATTAACGGATTATGAGCTATAGTAAAATTTCTAGTAGTGAATATCTCTTAATTATGAATAGTTTTCGATCCGACGAAGCGATTGTTGCCGGAAAAGCCTCTCTGTCTAACATAAACACCCTTTAGCGGTCTCTTATGTTCTTCTGAACTCCTTTCATTTCTATGATCTATTTCTTTTGCACTCCGACTAAGTGCATTTTTTTAATGATTTTACTACTAGAAATGCAATATTAAGATTGACATCACGATATGAGCTTACTTTATAAGAAGAACTATAATCAACTTATAATAAGGGTTTATTACAGCGTAGATTAGCTAAACTCTATAAAGTGAATACTTTTGAACGGTTTTACTGTAGTTTTTTTTTCGAAGACTTACTCGAACAGATGGTACACTTAAAAGTGCATCATCATATATGATAGTCAATAGATTATGATTTTGATGAATAGCATGATTAAATATTCTTCTAAGATCATCTTGTTGTTGTTGTTGTTCAACATTTTCAATAATTTCAATAGATTGAACAATTGCACCATAAATTGCTGCTCGACCTTTCGATGTAAAACGTTGTTGTATAAAATCAAATAAATTTTTTAAAATAATAATTAAATTTGTTCGATATTCTCCAGTTATATTCAATTGTTTAATTGATATAATTGATGTTAAAAATATATTCATTAAATGACTTGTTTGTTGATCATCAAGTATAATATTTGTTTGATTAAAAATTTTCTCATATAAATAATTACATAAATCAAATGGAAATGTTTTTATTTGATATAAATTAAGATAAAGTATTAATTCAATTAATGAACGCCATGCATCAATATGTGAATTTCTCCAATAAAAATCAATTTGTTCATTATTTAATTCATTTGCATAAGCAAGAATGATTTTACAATCATGAATATAATTCTCTTGATTATTATTTATTTCATTGATTAATTCATTATTATTATTAATATTATTTGTTTGTTGTATTGTTTTGATTTCATTGGATAAAAATTTTCTTAATGAATCTAAACGATATAATTTTAAATTTGATCGTTCATTATATTGACATGCTTGTAAAATATTATTTATTTTATTTAAATCAATATTTGGTGTTTTTAATTGTGATGTTAATTGATGATCAATTTTATTATAGGATGAATTTAATAATGATAATGTTAAACGATTTAATTTTATATCAATTAATTCAAAAAGTAAATTTATTGTTGTATCAATTAAATTTTTTGATATTATTGTTGGATGATTTGTTAAATGATATAATTCATGTGTTATAAGACGTAATAAATATGTTTCAATTGAATGTTTAAATATATTTGATGATGTTTTTAATGGTAAATATAATTGGATTTGTTTTTGTATGAATATATGTTCATGAAGAATATCAAATGTTATTTTAATTATATTTGAAGAATTATTTGTACATAAAAGATAAATAACTTCATAACATAATGGAAGAGTTTTTTGATAAAAATCAATTTTTAATGGTGATAAATCATCAAAAAAATTTAAAATTGCTTGAAGACAATTATTAACACGAGAACTTTTACCAGTTAATGTATAATAAGAATCAATTGGTTCAAGTTGATGTTGACGAGTAAAACCACAAAGATAATGACCAATATTTGATTGAACTGATTTTGTTAATAACCAAAGAACAGTATAACGCATTCGAGCTTTTAAATCTAACAATCAAAGATAAAAAGGGATATTATTGCGTACAGATAATTACGAAAAAAAATCTACTCCGATAGTATCTAACGACTCGATTTGATCCTACTCCTGCCGGATGCATTTTCGAGTTCATCCAGAGTTCCACCGTTGCATAGTATTAGTGAGAAGGCGATCCTAGGCGCTGATAGACAACCGTCGGATTTTAAACTAATTTTGATGACGAAAAGAAGAAAGACAACTACTAAGTAACAGAGGATGATAATCTGAGATAGATCATAATTCAGGTATTAGTAGTTACACTAGAAATAGTAGTAAATCTCACTAACTAAATCGATCTTTCTAGGAGAAGGAAATATTGATGTATCTATTATTACAATCTATTTGTACCTCATTAACTAATTCATTGAAGTTGATAAGGATATAGGATATTTATCAATCCATTTACTTTATGAAGAGAATTCTATAAACAAAATTGTAGTACAATTTCGTCTGCTTTGAAAATAGATTGGACTTTATTAATTTACAGAGTTATCGATGTCGATGAAACTAAGATAATAATCTAATTCTTTTTTTATCTTACCATTATCATCTACTTCATTATTATTATCTGGATCAGGTTCTGTAAATTCCAAACATCGTACTAAACCATATCTTAATATAGCTTTTTCTTTCTAGAAAAAAAATACTCAAATAATTATTTCTTTTACTAAAATCAAATAACAATACATGTTCTTTTGGTAAAAGTCGAAGAAATGGTTTTTGTAATTTATCTTCACTTAATGTTTTTGCAATTATTGATAATGCTTGATGTGCTAATTTTGGAAAATAATCAATCATATCAATTAACCTGATAATATGATATATAATAATAAAACTATAGTGAATATTAGAAATAAAATATTACTTCATTATATTTGGAAATAAATCTTTTGTATTTGCATCTGTTACAATACGTTCAATTGGTGTTTGACAAAATGTAAATGTTGATGATTTATCTGTCTGTAAGATTTGTTGACTATTGATTGTCACTAATTCTAATAAGTCAATAATTAATATTAAACTTCTGGAAAGTTCTTGTTCACCTATATAAAATAATTCTTTTTTTGCTCTAATATTCAATAATTAAAAGTAAGTCTCTTACCACTGAATGAAACATATTCAGATAATTTTTCACAACCATCAGTTATTAATGTAGTTAACTAAAAAAAACAATATTGAATATTATTAATTCGTCTTTATTCTCGAAGATAAACAAACCAAATTATAAAGTATGCCACCACGAAGTAAATCATTCACAAGTAATTCACCTGGTAAAACATTATTTGCTTCATTATTATCATTTGAAATAATTTGATTTGCAAAATAATTTATCACAATATCATTTAATATAATTAAAACACTTTCAGCTATTTGCCACTGAAAAGAAAACAACAGATATATCACTAGTATAAGAAGAGTGTCGATGAATTAAAATACACATACTTTTTCTTGTATTGATTTAAATGTTCTTGTTGGTATTTTAAGTAAAACATGATTAACAAGAAAAACAACACAATAACCTAATGTTCGCATATCTGCATTTGTTTTCAATTGTTGTGTTATAATTGGTTGAAGAAATTTTAGAGATGATTTTAAAAATGTATATTTTTGTGATGGAACTTCAAATTCTTCGATTTCATAAGCCATTGCTGGCATATCAGAATTTTCCATTGGTGCAAATAACTTTTAAAAATAAAAGATAGAAACATTCAATACAAAAGAAACATTTTTTTCTTACATCGATTTCTCCAATAATTTTCCAAAAATGCATTGCTATTTCAGGTGTTTTTGTAAATGCTGATAAAGTATTAAATAATGCTGCTTTTAAATCAAGAGATATTCGACATGATAATAAACCAAAAAAAGCAGCAGTTATTTGCCATTGTGGATGTTCAAAAAAACCAATACGAGATACTTCATCCTAAAATAATATGAATTTTATAAAGAAGAAAAACAGAATGGATTTTACTTGTGATGCAATAACTTCAATTAGATTTAATACTGCAATAAGTGCTGTAACTTCTTTTGGTGCAATAGTTTTTATTGCTGATGGTGATGGTGCTCCACTAAATGATGTTTGAGGTTGATGATTAAGTAATGTATCTGGACGATATGTATTACGATAAAGAAGAAATGCTTGAAATATTCGATTCCAACATGTTGGTCCACCAGTATCTTTTAAAAAGTAAATAATAAAATTGAATTCATTTTTGAAATTTTACCTTTTGCAAATCGTAATAATTCAAAACAAGCATGAGCACTAGATTGTGTTGAAGAAATACCAGCTAACATATGAATATAATGACAATAGAGATAGGCTGATAGAGTTCCACCAGCTGATTCAACAAAATTGGCTAATGCAACCTAAAAAAAATGAAATTAGTCATGAGTAATATCTAAAGCTTTTAACTTGTTTTCTATTCTTATTGAATATAAGCATCTGACGAAAAATCTTAGGTAGTCTTTCAATTTTAATTGGATATCAATCAAAAGAACAGAATATTAAATTCATGTTCTGCGTGTAGATATTTACTTGTTGTTGTGTTGGTGATTGTAACATCCTGTGTCCAGCTAAAGCATCAGCAGCAATCCAAAATTCTTCACTCAAATGTAAACCCATATGATCATTTGCATAGAATGTTGAAAGCTTAAATGAAAATGAAAATTTTTCTTTTTAAACTTGTTTATATAATACAAACCAATTCAAGAAAATATTCATAATCTCTTTGTAAATTATCTGGTAGTGGTTTTCTAGCACGTTCACAATCTTCAATCATTCGTGCTGTATCTTCAGCTTGTACACGTAATTCTTTTAATTTAAATGGTAAATAATAAATAAAATCCACAAAAAGCATATGAAAACGTCGAATTAAAAATTCCTTTATCAACAGAAAAAAATCAATTCAATTTAATATTATGTTTTTATAAATTTTCTTACTTCCTGTTCAAACAGAGAGCTTTTAATAACTGTTTCTGATAAAAAGGCAAATACATGTGCTTCAACAGCTGTATCTGCTAATGCTTCAATATCTTCTGAATAGATATGTCCTGTAAAAAGAATGGAAATTTAGTTTGTTTGGTATGAAAATCTATATTATAATTACCATCTGGTAATGTATGTGAACGTGCTCGTAAAATAATTGCCCAAGCAAGTTGACAGACAGCTTTTAATTCAGGTATAATCCAACGTTCATCATTTGATAATAGATCACGAATAGCTATTAATAATGCTGGATCAATAGGTGATGTAGATGTTGTTGTATTATTATCTAATGGACTTAATGGTTGATCTAAATAGATTATTCTTTCAGAAAAAAACAAAAAAGAAAAGAAATCTTTTCTCAACCTTCTTGTAAACTAAATTGTTGATGTTTTGAAGTGATTATTGATGATGAACCAGACATTGTATCATTTGGAATTGTTAATGCTAATGTTATACCATAAAGAAAGGCTCCAAGAATATATAATGTTGATTCATCAATAATTCCATCGTCTTGTACAGTTGAATATTTAGCTAAATAATTAATAATTGCAAGTAAATGTGATTGTGTTAAACGTATTTGACAACTATATAAAAATATTGATTTAGCTTGAAATGATCGAATATGTTTTATTGAATCTTGTACACGTCGTCGATGTTTAACATTTCCTAAACCAGCTTTGGAATATAATTTTTGTTCTTCATTACGTATTTGAAATGTTATTAATTGTTCAATTATATTTTCAATTAATCGTTGTTCAACAAGTTCATTTATAAAATTCGTACAAAATTCAATTGATCGAGGTATTCGAAGTAATGATTGAAATGTTCGACCATTTAAACAAGCCATTAAATAAGCTAAACATGCAGCTAAACGTTCTTTTGATTCATAATATAATTGTACCGCTAATAAACCACGTGTACAATCAGGATAATTTGATTGTAAAGATTCTCCTTCGATTAATAATAATAATGAATCATATTCATTTAATTGAAATAAATCACTAATAGCAAAACATTCATCAATAAATAAACGTGGTAATTTTCGACGATCCGTTAATGAATCGAATTGAATACCATCGAGATCAGCACGTGAAAGAATATTACGTTGAACAGCATTTTGTGGCTAAAAAAAAAAAGAAAATTTAAATTAATAGATAAATATAATATGATATTTTACTGAATTAGTGATAATATTAAGAAAATTGCTTTTATTTGAAGTAATTATTTGAAATTTTTCTGTATCAATTAGTTCATTTGATGTTAATAATGAACGAAGTGTATCAAATAATGTATTAAATGTATCGAACATTTTTCTGAAAGAATAGATTAAAATTAATATGATTATTTTATTTCTTAGAAAAAAAGAAATTAATTTCAACTGTAACTGTTTAGAAATTCAACCACTCAAAGAACGATAAATATCCTACCAATGAAAAGAAATTCACTTTTTAAAAAGTGGGCGCTGGTTGTCTTGAAATTGTTTTTCATCAAATTAATAAAAATGAACTTAAAAGTTAGCTTCTATGAATTGTGATGTTCATTTTACATAAAGATCATTAATATGTGACTGTAGTATGAAAGAAAAGTAGGCCTGTCACATTACTTCTTACTTTATTACTTATTACTTTATTACTTTTTTGGTTTATTCCGGATTAAAAGATATGTGAATCATGATCTATTGTAAATAGTGATTTGCATACTCTTTGATTCGAGCTAAGTTAAAAAAAACCCAAAAAAGTTGTAAAAGTAATAGTATGATAAGTAATAAAGTAATCTGAGTAATAAAGTAATGAGTAATAAGTAATGTGGCAGCCCTAGAGGAAAGAACTTGATGTATTTGTAATTACAATAGCTGAGTCGTTAATTGAGTATGGTTTCAATCCGAAAAAACGATGATATCGAAATTTATAAAGTTCTTATGACACTTTCAAATATCATTGCAATGAATTTAAGAATCTAGACAAACAAAGAGAATCGTGATAAAAGTAAATAATGATGAGCAATATAGTTTTTGATAGGTAATATTGTCAAAAATGACTGTGAGATGTAAGTAATATAACATCCGTCATATCAATAGATTGAAATGAATCAAATTTAATACATTAATTTAGGATATCAAGTTTAATTAACAAGAAATCTTTTGTCTGAAAATAGTACTGAAACTAGAAATTGTTTCTATTAACTAGATTATATTGTTTAAGAGAATAAAAACCAGACTGTACGATTTGATATCTATATTTCAGTTGTTTTTGTAATTGAACTTCGATAATTTACAAAAAGAGATGATATAAAATGATTTAAACAAGTTTACAGTGACATCTATGTTCATTTATATTGATAGAAATATATACCAGAGGAGTTACATAGTTGAATATTTTACTTATGGTGAGAAACAATAAAATTTAACATTATTCTCGTCTCATTGGTGTTAGATAATAACTATGGTATGTTTAGTATTTTATTCATAAAAACAAATCATTTTATTTTAATGAATTAAATAGATTCTTTCACGTACTAAAGCAGCAGATGATCCGAAGAAGAAAGGTGCGACACAAGCACAAGATAAAAATAAAAAGAAATCAGTTGAAGTCGAAGA